TTTACACCCAAACCCTGGGAAAGGTGTCCCCCACTGTGGGTGACATCCCAGGGGCTGCACAGCTCACTGACAGCTTTAACTCATTACCAAAAGCTTTTTCTGCAGCCAGACTCATCCTCCAGCTGTCCAAGCCTCTAAAATTCCCAAATCCATGCTTGTGTTTCAGGCACAATTTGAATTTCCCTCTCAGCCTACAAAGCCAGTGAGGCCAGATAAGTTTTCCAGGTGGATTCCAGGGCTGGGCACCAGGCCCTCCCTGCTGTCCTGACTGGGATGGAAAAAAACTTTGGAAAATATGATCTGGAGACCTTTCCCAGCATCAGGGATCTGTGGGGCCAAGGAGATGCAGCAGGAAGCCCCAGGCTCCCAAAATGTCTCAAAAGCAGCATTTCCCAAGCTCGTGGGATTTCAGATACATTCCACCTTTTCTCTGGTTTTCTCTCTCTCTCTTGTTGATTTTTCCCTGCCACTTTTTAATGCCTGAGGGGGCTCATGGTCCTGTGGCATTTTCCAGCATTCCCTGGAGCAGAACATGACCCTGCTCAGCCAAAAGGAGCAGCACATTGGGCAGCAAAGAGCCCAGCTCAGCTCTCCTGGGAGAAATCCTGCAAGAAATCCTTACAAAACAAAGACTTAAACCAAACAACGGCAGGGCAGCCTCCGCAAAACCTTTTCGTGGACTGCAGTCTTTTCCAAGGTGAGAAAATGAATTCCCTGAATGCCTTGTAAGGATTTTTTCTTTTTCTGCTTGGAGCAGATATGAAGGGTTTGCCCAAAGAATAGCAATAAAACCTTGCTGCTGATAAGAAGGCTGGTGCTGGAGAGCAGTGGAAATGCCATGGAACCAGGCCAGAAATGCCCCAAACCTCAATTCTGTCCAAGCTGAATTTTCTCTGTCTGTAACATTTCCCTTTTCTGTCTGAAGCAATGGCCTTGTAGCCCAGCAGCAAACAAAGGTTCATTTTAGCCTTTATTGCATCTAATTACTGCACCTCCTGATTGCTGACCTGGCCTAATGCTCTTCTCTGTAATTGCTCCAGATGGACTTGGAGTCTTTAATGGGATATTTGCTATCTAGCAAGGCTGCTGGGGATTTTTATTTATTTATTTTTGTTCAGAAGAAATTCCCTCCAGGGTGGGGAGTTCAGTTGGTTCTCTGCATTTTCTTCTGGATCATTTGGAGGTGATCTCTGTACCTGATTATTTTTCTAAAGGGAAATTCAGAGCAGGGATGCTCCAGGGGTGGATTTCTGTTCCTCCCAGCACACTGCTGTGGGTAGCACCAATCCTTGCCACACAAAAAGCTCTTTGGACTCACAAATTCCATGGTTCCACGACCCCCCAGACCCAGGCTGGGCAGCACATTTAGGGCTCTGCACCTTTGAGGGATATAAATATTTTCCTGGGCTTTGTGTACAAAAGATTTTTTTCCCAAGGCCACAGAGGGTGTGAGGAGCTCTGAATTGCAAAATGAGAGCCTGAACTGTGATATCTCCTCCCCAAGCTGTCTCCACAGAGCTGAACTCCACCTCTCACTGCCAAGAACCTCAGGCTCTAAAAACAATCACTTTTGGGCTCTGGTTTGTGGGTTTTTTCTTATTTTTTTTCCCAAAGAAGAGAAGGAGGCCAGCAGCAAATTGCACAGGAGGAGAGTTCCCTGCTGTGCTCTGAGGCAGAGGAGAGGAAAGCAGCAGCTGATCACAAGATGTTGAACTTGCTGGGGATGAGCTGCCTGCTAGGAGCAAACAGCAAGAGCTCCTTGATTCCCAGCCAGGCCCTTCCCCATTATTCTAATGGAAGTGCAGCTCACACCTGCACTGATGGAGCTGGCTGGGGAGCAGCTTTGGAGGGGATAACGTGGTTTTATTGTGAAGGAAGGGACAGGCTGGGGAAGAGGAAACAGGAAAGCCTTATCAATATGATTGCCTGGCAAAAGATTTGGAGAATATAGAAACTATAAG